AACACATGTGATGTGATGTTGGCGCTTTGGAAAATAAAAATCAGAAAGTAGTGTGCAAACCACAGTGATCTACCCAAAACTTGCCAGGAACTATTTTCCAAAGTGCCAACATCACATGTGTTTCAATTCAATGTAGTGTGCACACCACAGTGATCTAATATCTTGAAGAATTGGTCAATGCATGAAAATATATTGATGATTGTTAGTAGTACAATGAAAATTTTGGCCCATAGAAGTATGAAAACCATGATAATATTAATATCAGGTAATTCAAAAGATCTACATACAAGAGGATACTTTCTCCAATTTGGTACTTACATAATGCATTAGATGGGAATATAAAAATAATTTACAACGTAGGAGATAAAACACGGCCCTAGTAATTAATAATTGAGCAACCCAACCAGTATTTGTTAAGTGTCTCCTCACCTGCTCAGGGGAAATGCCAACAATTTCCAAAACATTTTCTTGAATCTCACGCTTATAAATTCTCAAGCTTTCTCCACCAATCTGATAGCACCACAACAATTAAGTATTGCACCGTTGAATTTCACATGTTAAGTATTGGCAAAAGATCAATATTGCAACTAACAGAGAATAGAGTACATATTTATACCCCTCAAAAAAACACTCATTAGTTTTACAGTGAGCAAGAAATTGGGTACCGATGATATGTATACAAATTGGGTACCGATGCTATTAAATAAAATATCCATTATATAATCATTGAAGTGGATTCCACACCAACTGATTGTGTGAATGCTATTTGTTAATTGCTCCTCGTGCAACAAACCAAGTGACAGAACATTCCTGAAAAATGTAAAGTCTTAAAAAAACAATTTTACCCTTCTCATTATATGAACAAAGGTATTATATTAAAATAGTCATTATATATACATAGAGATAGAAAACTAATTACCTCACATTAATAGTTTTCAATGCATGCATTTTATGGGATTTTGGTTTTCATGTTTTAATTATGTTAATTTATTAGTTCTTGAAATATGAAATCTATGCTTCAATTAAAATATTTGTTGACCAAGTAGCACTTTTTACTCTGTTAACTTTTAGAATTGGATTTGTAACTGACAAAGTGATGAAATAAGAATACACGAAAAGAAGAGGAAAAGACTACCTCTAAGAAGCCAGCTTGATCAAGGATTGCCCGCACATTTTCTGACATAAAATCAACTCCTAGAACTGTGATATATTGGCAACCAGCTTTTACCATCTTATTACATGTAACTTCAAGCCAAGGGTTTAATGTGTAAACGAGTTAGTACTCTTTTGTTGTAACCAAGTGTTAACTTGGAAAGCTGTAAGCCCGTAGGGCATTTTGTTTTGATGTTAACATGTAATACTTATGTAATGGAACTCTAATGAATAAAAGAATGTGGTTAGTTTATATGTAAATGCATGTCTTATCTGATGGGTTTAATGTTATTATTTTGAGGGCGTTACAATAGGGTTAGTAATGGAAAATTAAGGTGTGAACTAAGATATTTTTAAAACCTAAAATTATTTTGTGTGTACTAAGTAATGGTGTGTATTAGGAGTATTAGTGGTGTGTAAATAGAATCACCATTTAATTATATTTCTAACGTCCGTCTACATTGATAACGGAAAAAGTATTTTATTCTTGGATAAAAGATAGTTTTGGTCCCTAAAGTATGTGTTTCTTGTCATTTTAGTCCCTTGAGTTTTAAATTTTGTCAAATATTCATGTTATCAATGTAGACGAATGTGCAAACCAAATAAACCAAAATTGATAACTTCAAGGACAAAAATAACAAAATTGGAACTTAAGGGCTAAAATGAAGAGGGGAAAAAAAACATACTTTAATAACTAAAACGGTCTTTTATCCAACAAAAAAAATATTAAACCAATCCATCAATTTTAAGGATAGATGAGTTGGTGACCGGTTAAAAAACTCTCAATTAATCCATCAAGAATAAATTCTCAAGGCTTATACACGGTCAAATCCAACTATCAGTACGCTATTAGTCAATATGTTATTCCCATCACAGATCTACCCTCATCTTCCTTCCAATGGTCGGAGTCAGATTGGACATTCGTGTGGAGCCTCAGCATTCCTAACAAGATTAAACATTTCTTGTGGAGGTTATG